TTAAAAAAAAGCTTTGCTTCCAGAAAATAAATCAAATTTAAACATTCTTGAGAATACTTACCTATGATGATTTATTATTACTCTTTGAAGCATTTTTGGTTGGATTGAATTATTTGCATAATTAAAGAACCACTTCTTAATGTGAAGCAATGAGAAAATCACTGCTTCATTGTTGGAACATAAACATGTTCAGCTTTTTTTTATTTGTAAGGAGAAGGCTTTTCTTCTGTGCTCCACAGCTTTTCAAGCAAGCAGAAACCCAGTGATACCAATGTGTGTCAAGTAATCAACCTTAAAAACATATGGAGAAAAACTAGCTGTCATTGGAAAGAAAATGTGGATTCCTTTTAGAACCTTAAACATATGTCAAAAGCCAATTTTGTTTTCCATTTATACATAATTCTATATACTGTATTTTGTGGTCTTACCTACACTAAAATAATTTATACTAGATCAGTATTTTTGAATCAACAGATGAACATTGAGTTCCACCATGTAAAGAAAACCTTAATATTCAGTGTCATGTCTTCAAACATATTTTGCAAAAAAAATGTTTGTTTTATTTCCACCATTTGTTAGCCTGCTGTTAGAATGATTTGCTAGTGGAAACACAAAGATCAATTCAAGTTAGGTAAAAGCACCATGAGGTAAGATAAAAGCAACATTTATTTTAACAAATACAGTGTGTAGGCAATAGCACACATTGCCTAACATCCTTGGTGCATAACATAGACTGAAAAACATGTTACTGTTCTCTGAGCATGGTTCATTGGTGTGAACCATGTGAACATACAATTACGTTTGCAAGTCTCAATTTAAGTCATATATAGTTTTTAGTTTAACTCATTGTTTGCAGTGTAATTCATTCCCAATAAGAATTTGAATATCTTCCAGATGAACAAATTGATGTGTGAATATAGGACCTAAAACTGATACATTTCTTAATAAGAAAAATTTAATTTTGGAATATTCTTTACCTAAAATTGCTGATTTCTTAATCTTAAAATTGAATTTTGTTGAACATTTAAAAAATGAACTGACAATATCAGCAAATTCATACTTTAAAGACACAGATCACCTAGGATAATGTCATAAAATGTGTTGCAGCTGGTTCAATCAATGAAATAAACTCAGTTTGGTTTCAAAGTACATAAATATTTTAGCTTTAAATTATCTGGAATTGAGCTACTGGCATTTGAATTTTTTTAATATTTCTTCCACACATATTAACTAATAATCTCTAAAGGAAGGGGAATCTTGTTGGTTTTTACTAGGTTATGAAAGTTCATAGAACTTTGTTTTATTGGAGTGAGTGTTCTACCAGTTTGAGAGGCAGTTTATTTGCAAATAGCATATAGTCAGGAAAGGCATTAAACTGGAATCAGGGTGATGATGACAGAAGAGGACAAACCCTTCCTGAGGTTTCCATCATTATTTTAGGAGTGCTATAAATGATGAGGACAGTGGAGAGCCCCATACTGACATGGAAGCACCAAGAATATCTCCCACAGCAGAATATAAATGATTTTTAGATTATTCACTTCTCATTAATCAGGATTTGATAATCACACACTTAGTTCACTTTTATAAATTAATAATTTCAAACTTTAGACTTTGTTTATAATGATAATTTTTATAATTTTATTACTTAGAAAATAATTTATATTTTTCCATCATTTAAACAAAGAGTAGGCCTGAGTCTCATGCCTTCTGCACAGCTTTTACCTTCAAAGAAAGTTCTCTGGGTAAGATAGGCAGGGAATATGGTGAAATTGCAAATTAACAGTCTACATACATCTAATATGAACAGTCTATAAGATATTCCTTTTCTTTAGTTTTAGGATTGCAATGGTAAGATTTGTTCGGCTATTCAACCAAAAGGGAATAGTTAGAATCAGGTATTCTATTTTTAGGAAGTGAATACTTTCTTGAACAAAATATGAGAAAATTTCTTCACTTGTCAGACGAAGACTAATATAGCTATATCCCTGTACAGAGCTACTGTCTTCATCTTTTACTGAGAGCAAAACCAGGTCTTACATAAATGGCAAAACAAACAAAACAAAAATTACAGCTAACAAAAGTAGTGCTTTTACCAAGGAAACCAATATTTTAAAGGTTTAGATATATATCTGGAAAGATGTTCATTAGCATGCTGAAAATAACACTGATGACACTCAGAATATACCTGGTCTTTTACTTAACAGAGAACCATGCCATCTAGGTAACTGGTTCCAACTTTTCCTATCATTGATTTTATGGTTGTCTAAACAATTATCTTTTTCCCTAGGTGGGCTAGAAATTCCTTCATTTGAAAGACCTGAGTTTTATCTAATGGCACCTATAAATAGGCTCATATAAAATTGTAGTAAATTGCAACAAATACATTGGCACCACAGGAAGTAAGCTCTGGAGTTGGATGTGAACATAATAATATTGCTGTCACCAAAAAAGGGGGAAAACCCTATTACCAGAAAATGTCCCTTAGCATCCTATGAGATGTACTGGGTGTGTATGAAAGTCACATACTTGGAGGATCTTCATCCCTTTATTTATCCCAATTGACTTCTAGCTGTAATAGCAATTTATTTTTAAAGAAAAATGTATCAATCATCCTGGATTGATGAACACAATTCTAAAATAAAGAAATTCTGATTGCTTTTGCCACTATTATTCCTATTATTTCCTGTACCTTAAAACAAAACAAACAAAACCTGGCAGTTTGCTGAGACTTCTACCATAGTAGCCAAGCTGGTCCCCTACTATACAGCTTTGATGAAACTGCCAGTAGACTATGATGAACTTCCAACTGTCCTGCCAGTCGACTCACTCCAAACATAGCTTTCTATTTAATTAATATTTACGTTAAAGATGGACAGCATTTGGAAAATGGGAAAATATTGGCTTTGTTAAGTAATTACATTCAAGGGGTATGAGAAGATAAATGCTTTTTTCCCCTTCTCTTAATTGCAAGGTAAGAATAGTTAAATTAACTGGCAAAATTTGACTCCCAGTAATTTTTGCAAAGAGAGACACACAGGCAAAGCTAAGAAAATGAAAACAATTTAGTAAGCTCTAAATAATGAAGACCTGGTGTTAACTCAGAAATATACTGAAATATATTCTAAGTATTTAGGTAGAGTCTGCATCCGCTTGATCCTTTTTATATTTTCCTACTTATTGGAGAATTTGCCTTGAAACTATGTTTATTTTTTATTGTATTACATTTGCCTTATTTTTTAATGCCATGAATTACTGTAAAATAATGCTTTAAAAGGGAGAGTATAATATCCATTTATGAGAAACTAAGTAATTTTAATGTAAACAATCCTTTCTACTACTTCAGATAAAACAAAAACTAGATATCAGAATCAAGGTTTACTTAGAAGCTAAGATTGTTTAGATAATGAGCAGGTTTGTATATAGTACTAAAGGAAGAATCATAACCAAACAGTGTTAGAAAGAAATGGACACCAACTATAAAAATTTGATATTGGTTAATAGTCCTTCATCTGGGAGACATGGACCCAGCATTCATTCAGTTGGTAAAAGTTACTAGTGAAAAAAATTCTTTGCAGCATTCTCATTTAATTGGCAAAAAAATAACTATATCAGATTATCATTTAAATTAGAATAGGTATATGATTGGCTGTCCATCAACCTCCATGCAAATGAATCATCATTCCTTTACTGGGCTTGGAAATAATGACAATGTATAAAAAATGGTGATTAAAATATAACTTTATAAAAATGTTTCCCTTTTCCTTTTTTTTTTTTGAAAAAAGAATTTACTATCTACAAAAACAAAAAAAAATCTTTATATTTACATCAAGATAACTATCATGACATATATAATAATATGAAATAAAATATTGAAAGTGAGTATCAACTTTTTAAATAGAGGTTTGGCTCACAGCATAAACAAGTGTAGATAAACAAACCAAAACAAAACAAAACAAAAAGACTTTCAATAATAACCTGATCCTCAAACAATCTCTCTCTAGTCTCCCCTGCCAGAAGAAGCATGACTGACAATGGGCCAGGTTGCAGATGGAAGCTACCCCAACAAACAGCATGTGGAATACCACAACAGGGGCTGTCAGTGGGACCTTCACCCCTGAAAGCCAAACTACAGCCAAACTGTAAGTTGCCAAGAATCAGGCTTTTCCTATGTCTACACAAAAACCCTAGGTTGAAATAGTCTCCTTCATCTCTTGCTACATAACCCAGAGTGGTTTTTCTGTTTCCTTTTCTTTTTCTACCACACATTTTGCAGCAAATTAAGAAGACACAGGAGATCGTGCTGAAGTATAATTTCCTAAGCCTTCTCTGGCATCATTTAGAATTCTAACCTTATTAAAAGACCTGACTCCAGCTCTTTCCTAGGTGTTTATAAAAAATGTCATCATCTCCTTAAATGGTGCTTTGATCTTAGTTGAGTGACATCCATACTCATAGACAGTTCCTATACATTCATTAGGCAAGTGGACTGGAAAATGCCTCAATCTTCCAGGTTTGAGGCTGGTGATAGAGCTCCTTCAAGTGGTGCATAGCAGTAATGTAATACCAAACAAACATGTGGCCCTCTCACCAAGCCCTTGAGTGCCCTCCATCTGTAAAAGCTCCTTTATTGAAGGAAATGGAGGAGGGCATTTGGAATGGCTGCCTCCCAGAGACACTCCAGAGTGAACTTCCTTGTTTGTTCACATGTATTCAGTCATTTGCTACAGCTATTCTATGAATTACTGAAACCACAAAAATCTCTTTACATATGCACACACATGCACGCAAGCACCCTTTCACACTGTTCCCTTCGACACACACACACACACACACACACACACACACACACACACACACAGTGTTGTTGGCAGGATGTATCAGAATTCAAATAATGCTCTGGAACTTTCATCCCTCAGTACTAAGAGCAAAAGCTGCTTAGTTGGTAACCTACATTTCCTGCACGGTTTCCTTGCTAAGCCACACCATCTCCTTTGTGATTTGGTTTCCTTTATGATTTATTATATCACAGTGACCACTATATATCTTAATATAAATGTTACTAAATTGTGGAGCCAGCAATTCTGGCCTTCAGTGTGTATGTGTGTGTGTGCATGTGAGTGAATATGTTTTACATGTATATGTGGGAGCTTATATACACACACACATATGTATTATTTCCTCCTTAAAAAATCCTTAGAAGCTGGTGTTGCAATGTGAAAGCTTCTTTGAGAAAAAGTTTTTAACAATGTACCTCACTGTAAAAATATACACACACAAAATGCGAAGAATCCCAAAATGCAATAGCCATTTGCCATCTTCTCAAATTTCTACAGTGTTGTGTCTAAATGTTGTGCTGGCTTGAAGAGAGTCTTTGACAAGTCAATCTGTCTGGAAACACAGCCCACTCTATCCATTGTCACTGGTTTGGCTTTGGGGTTGGTATCTCCTCCCCTCTTCGTTTCCCTTTCTCTCCTTCTTCTTCTTCCTTGATAGCCTGGATCTGTTCTGAAGAGTGTGGCTGAGGGGTCTGACCCAGGGATTGATTTTCTATGTCTGCCAACCGCTGCTCCTCTTCAATGACATTCTTCCACATCTTGTGGTTCTGTAAGAGGTGCTGAGTTATTTGGCAGTAGACTTTTCTCCTTTTGAAAGTCTTTTTTTCTAAAAAAAAAAAAGAAAAAAACAATACCAAATTAGACTACTTAGTTGTGTGCTGAGCACATGAAAGTTATCTCTTTTCAGATTATTAAGAGGAGTTAATCCATAACCCTGGCTTGTATATTATTATTATACAGTTTTGGGGAATGGGGAGAAAAGAGGAAGATGGCAATAATCATTAAAATATCACTGAGAAATAACTCTGGACAGTGTTTAATATTTGGCAATGTCCAGCTTAAGATTCTGCTTGTATCTGGGTATTGTTTCCATTACATTCAGGCTCTCAAAACTTTCCACATAGATAATTGAAATAACTTCTTGTTATGTCTGCCTCTGTCAATTTAATTCACAAACATCTATAAGACTGATATAGTTTTGATATTCCTCATCTGCTTTATGTGGACTAAAAAATTAGTTATTTCAAAGTACTCCCATAAGCTTGCAGAGGACCTCATTTGCATTCTTTCCCTTCTGTAGACTGGCCTTTAGCTACACTTAACTGCTCTGCTTTTCTTGTTTTTAAAAAATCTACACTAAAGCCCTATCTTCAGGCTGGTACTTCCTATCCTTCTGAAATGCTCTTTGCAACCACTGAGAGTATATATCCATTCATTTTTTAAAGACTCCATCAGATTTCACTGAATTTTTCTAAGAAATGAACTCTTTCTTCTAAATTCCCATGTTACTCCATGTGTACCTTCTAGCATACTGTATATACCGTTCCTGTTTTTATTTTTTTCTTTCTCTTCTCCTTATTATCTCTTCTTCTGTTAACTGTGCATCCAAAATCATTTAGGGGAAACTTTCCCCCCTTCCTTCAATTATGTGGTTCCAGAAAAAGTTGTTAAATTCTACTTCCTCACTTATATCCTGTCTACAAAATTGTATCAGAGTGGCCCATGGGTGTGTGCATGACCCACGTCAGGCCAGAGGTCTTCCCTGGGATAGTTCCCAGTAGCACAGAATGAATGTGGATTTGAGAGGTGTAATTGGAGATCCTTTCTCCTTTGTTTATGCATCTGGAATAAAGTGAACTTACTTACGGCTGGCTATCATTTCAGCCTGATGAAGAAAGCAAGGCTGAACGAACAAGCTGTTAGGCAGGTGAGGCAGAGACAAAAGCAGGAACAAATAAGCACTGATAATAGCCAACGTCATGTTTACATGAACCAATAATATTCTCTTTTTGTATATACTCATTCCATTGGAATTTTATAACTTGTAACCAGAAAAAAAGTTCTACCTTAGTATACCTCCTTTAAGAAATGTATCTTGGAAGACGTCTTCAAGATGTTAGATTAGAGGAATCTGGTACTTTCCTCCTCCATAAAGAAGAACCTCTGGAGTAAGTAGGTAATCAGACTTATCATCTAAAATATAATTCTGAATTCAACAGAGAAATGACTGGAAAATATCTAAAGTAAGGAAGAAGAGAGAATTAAGGTAGCCTGCTCAGCTGGGATCGTCTATGAGCCTGGAGAGGCTCCCTAATATGAGGAAAAATTAAGTCAGTGAACCCAGCCATCCACATTCCCACCATGGACTCCTGCACTCCTAGCCATGGGAGAGTCTGTCAGCCCATGCAGTGCCTGAAATTGATATAGACAACTGCCCGGCAATCATGTGATGGCATTGCTTCAAAGAGGGAGCTCATACCATGACTCACACATCCTTCAAGTACTGAGCAGCTTAGGAGAGGCACATGTGACCCACTGCTGCCACCAGTGGGGTCTGATGACTGGTTCACATCACATCCCTGTACCCAGCAAAATTTTACAACAGCCTTCCACTAATAACTGTACTCTAAGGCACTGAAGGAATCATAGATACTATTGATACTGTTACAGTCAAATAAACCATACAGAGACTACACTACTGCCTGCACCCAAAATGAAAGCCAGGGAACTTTATCCAACCCACACCATAGATACACCTTCAGGTAAAAGTCTCCCTGACAAAAGATAATTTTGAAAATTGGAACAAGCAGCTGCCACACCAGATACACAGATATCAATGCAAAGACTCAAGAAATGTGAAAAAGCAAGAAAATATGACACCTCCAAAAGAATGAAATAATTCTCCAGCAACAGATTCCAATGAATAAGAATTTTTTGAAATCCCAGATAAAGAATTCAAAATAACAATATTAAAGTCTATCTCAGTGAGATAGGCTACAACTCAGAAAAACAATTCGTAATATGAATGAGAAATTTACTAAAGAGACAGGTATCAAAAAAAGAACCAAAGAGAAACTCTGGAATGAATAATTCATTGAAAGAAATACAAAATACATTCAAAAGTTTAACAACAGATTAGATTAAGTTGAAGAAATAATCAGAATTTGAAGACATAATCCAGTCAGATGACCACTAAAAACATTAAAAAAATTTAACACTAAACCATAAAAAAAATAATTAACAAAGCTTACATGACATATTTGAATTTTCAATGTCCCAGAAGGTGAAAAGAAAATGAAAGAAAACTCGTTAACAAAATTATAGGTGAAAACTTCCCAAGTCTTACAAGAAGGGATTTAGACATCTAGATGTAGGAAGCTCAGAGAAACTCACACAAATACAATTCAAGGTCTTCTCCATGGTGCATTGTAGTCAAACTGTCAAAAGTCAAAACAGAGGGAATTCTAAAAACAGCAAAAGAAAAGTATCTAATAACTTATAAGGAAACTCCCATCAGACTAACAGATTTCCCAGAAGAAATCTTTTAGGCTGGGAGATAATGGGACAATATATTCAAACAGCTAGAAGAAAAAAACCATATACCCAGCAAAGTTATCCTTCATAAACGAAGGAGAAATCAATAGTCTTTTCTCACATAAGCAAAGCTCAGAGAATTCACCACCACTAGACTAGCACTACAAGAAATACCTAAGGGAGGCCTACATGTGAAAGCAAAAGGATATCTATTATTTTGAAAACACATGAAAGTATAAAGTCCCCTGGTAGAGCAAACACAAATAAGGAAATGAAAGGAATCAAATGTTACCACTACAGAAAAACCACCCAAATGCAGTGATAAACAGCAAGGAGAAAGAAAGGAACAAAGATATACAAAACAGTTATAAATAAATTAACAAAATGACAGGAATAAGGACTCAGATATCGACAATAACCTTGAATGTAAACAGAAAAAGATTTCCACTTATAAGACATAGAATGGGTGAACTGATTAAAAAACATAACTATGTGCTAAGAAACTCATCTCACTTGTAGACAGATATAGACTAGAAGAAAAAGAAAAGACATATAGACAGGAATTAAGACAGAAAAATACACTTCATCCAAACAAAACAGAAAAGCAAGAGTAGCTACACTTATGTTAGATCAAACAGAGATTAAGTCAAAAACAGTAAAAACAGACATAGTCATTCTGTATCCTCTCAATATATACAGAAAAAGTATTTGATAAAATTCAACATCATTTCATGATAAAAACTAAAAATACTAGAAACATGCCTCAATATAATAAACACCACACATAATAAAACCACAGCTAATATCATATTAAATGTGGAAAGTTGAAAGCCTTTCCTCTGTTGGGAACCCAACTGTGTGAATACTTGCAAAGCGAGTTTCACAAGACGGGTGGTCAAGCCCAGACACAGGGACACCTGATACAGGGAAGTTGAGATAAAGTTGAGTCAGGAACAGAAAAAAGGAGAATCCTGTTAAAAGATAACCAGATGATCAGAACCAGAAAATCCTGCAGTCACAAGGAACAATGTCTCGATGTAAATGTTTTTTATGGGCACCAGGAATGACTATCACCTTTTACGACCACTGATTGTGTGTCTCTGCCATCCTTATTGTATAGAGTATGCGAATTAGTGATCTGTTTTTTCTCTTATGCTGACGTAAACTAAAGCCTGAAAAATGTATATAATCGAAACCTTTAAGAAATAAAGTTGCTGGTGGAGCACTCACTCCCCAGACCTCCTGACCCCACTCTTCTGTCTCCTATTTTTCCTGCGCACCCTCTGATCAGGTTTTGAATCCTCTTGCTGGCCGAGAGTTCCCGCCATTACTCTAAGAACTGGAAAAAAACAAGGTGCTCACTATCACTGTGGCTATTCGAAATTGTACTAGAAATCTTACTCAGAGCAATCGGCATTCAAATTGGAAAAGAGGAAATCAAATTGTCCCTCTTTGTAGATAACATAATCCTATATTTAGAAAAACATAGACTCTACCAAAAAACTCTTAGATCTGCTGAATACATTCAGTAAAGTTACAGAATACAAAAATCAATATATAAAACAAAGAAATTAAGATGGCAATCCATTTTGCAATAGCTAAAAAAAAAAGTAGAAATAAATTTAACCAAGGTGGATAGAGACCTCTACATGAAAAACTACAAAAATTTGATGAAATATGTCAAAGACAATACAAGCAAATGCAAAGACATCCCATGAACGTGGATCTGAAGTACTAATATTGTTAAAAACACCATTCTACCCAAGCAGTCTACAGACTCAATGCAATCTTTATTTAAAAAANTAAAAAAAAAAAAAAACTGGAAAACAAATCTAAAATTCCTATGGTACCAAAAAAGAGTCTGAATGGCCAAAGCATTCTGAATAGAAAGAAGAGAGCTGGAGGCATCACACTACTTGACTTCAAAATATACTACAAGGGTATAGTAAAGAAACAAAAACAAACAAACAAAAAAAACCAAGAGCATGGTGTTGGCATAAAAACAGACAGGTAGACCAACAGAACTAAGAATTCAGAAATAAATGCATATATTTATAGCCAACTGATTTATGACAAAGGTGCCAAGAACATACATTGAAGAAAGGACATCTTAAATAAGTGGTGCTGGGAAATGTGGATATCTATATGAGAAGAATAAAACTAGACTCCCATTTCACACCATATACAAAAACAACTCAATATAGATTAAAGACATAAGCATAAGACCAGAAACTATAAAACTGTTAGAAGAAAATATAAGAGAAATTCTGTAGGACACTGACCTAAGCAAAG